TTCCACATTAATGTTTGTGCAAGTAATTTAAGTGGCTTATATCCTGGAATAAATCCATCTAATTTTTCTGGTAATTTAGATTTTATCTTGATCTAACATTAGCAAATGATTCTCCAAGTCTAGCATGAGATGCTGTTTGTTCAAGTAATGCATCTTGATATAATGGATAATAATCTGGGAATTTCTTTAATCTAATTGATTCTGTTTTAAAAAGAAGTTTCCATGATTCATCTGCAATAACTGGTTTCATATATTTTTCAACAAATGCTTGTGGATCAACTCTAAGCATATTAATTAATAAATATGCTTGTTGCTTCTTTCTGAAAATAGAATATTCTTTCTTTCCATCTATATCTGTACTTGGAAGTCCAGGATATGGGAATCTAATAAAATTCTCTGCAATACAACTTACAATAATAAGAGCAATAAAAATTAATTTTGTTGTGCTCATTATAAGCTATAATATTATGATTTTTTAATTCTTAGTTCCTTTCTCTTCTATTTTTTTTTTGAGAACTTTTTTCTCTTTGATTTTTCTTTTTTTTTTAGATTTTCTCTTTTTTCCTTTCATGATTTTTTCTCATTTCTTTTTTTTTGGTTATTTGTTGTTTAAAAATATTATTTAAAATAATTATCTTTCTTATTAATTTATTATTTGATTTATTTATCTGGTTATAAAATTACCAATATGCTATTGTTCAAATGATGCAAATTATTTCTTTCTTATTCTTTTCTTATTCATTTTGATACTTTTGTTATTATCTTTTTCTAATGTCTTAATACCTCTTTGAAAACAAAACACTTCATTTGTAATTTTCAATGAATTGTTTTTAAAACAACCAAATATTTTTCTTGATAATAAAAAATAGTAATATAAAAAATAAATCCAATTTTATTTCAATGGAACGAATTTAGAAGAGTGAGTAGCTCCTACACCTGGTCTTCCATGGGTAACTGGTTTGTAAGTAATTGAAAATTCTCCAAGATAATGTCCAAGCATTTCTGGTTTAATTTCAACAGTAGTGAAGGATTTACCATTGTAAACACCAATAACTGAACCAATCATATTTGGAAGAATGATTTTATCTCTGCAATGTGTTTTAACAAGTTTTGGCTTTTCACCTTCTTTGGTAGCCTTTTTGATTTTAAGGAGTTTCTTGACAAGTCGTTCATGTTTTAATTTGGGGGATCTTCTATATGATCTTCTAGCTCTAGCGTCCAACATCTTGACAAAATCAGCCTCTGGCATAGCAGTGATTTCTTCAAGTGATTTTCCTTGTAATTCAAATTTCTTGAAGGTTCTCTTCTTGGCTACTGTCTCGGACATTGGATTCCAAAAGTTCTTTCTTTTCTTCAAAACCCTTTATTTCGGGAATTTACTATTATTATAGTTTATTATACTATTTGTTATGAGTATTTTGTTTCAATTTAAAATTTAATGAAATAGTAAGTTATAATATCACTCCTTTTTTAAAAATTCTTTTTCAAGAAGCAGCTGTAGTTTAAATGGTAAAACGCTTTCTTACATTAATATTGATGAAGTATTATAGTCAAAATGTTAAGAGTTATGGGTTCAACTCCCATCAGTTGCATTTTTTCTTATTTTTTTTTTTGTTAATATTCACTTTTTGTTGTATTTATTTTTATTTAATAAGATAGAAATAATCTATTGAATTGTCTTGATAAATAATACAATGAATTAAATAGAAATAAATATAAAACACTAAAACATCATATCTAGACATGGATATATATTATTTTCAATAAATTAATACATAATCAATGTGGTATTATAACTGATTAAATTGTAATGAGATTATAACATGATAATGAACAATTAATTTATAAAAATATGAAATATTTAATTGTTTACAAAAAATAAATTTGTTTAACAAACTCACTGTCATTTATTTAATACAATTCAATATTTAATATATACTTATTTAAAATACCCACAATTGATAAATCACATCAACATCATTTTTATCATTGAGAGATAAATATAAATGGTTTGAAATGAAATTAATCAAAAACAAATTAAATTATTTTGTTTTATAAAAATTAGTATTATGTAAAGTATTTTGGTGAGTACAGTGTTTTATTTTATTCTTGGTTTGCATGGTGAGTTAAGGAAACACTCATCTCCTATTTTACTAACCATTGTTGGAATAATAAAATCATCTGTTGTCTGTCGATTAGTTTCTTTGTTATTGATTACCTTCAACCTTTCTGGCATTCCAAATGATCAACACTGGTCCATTAATAAATATTTTATTCTCTTCTACAAATTTAATATTTGCAATATATTGGTTAGTGGTACATTCATAGAAACATTATTCTCATATTTTATTAAATGTTTTTGGTATTATAATACTCTTTAACGTTGTACAATCATTAAAGCAGTAATTTCATAATCCACTTACTGATGTAGAAATACTAATAATAGTTAATAACAACCATTCACTTAAACAACATTTAATATTTTAATAAGTGTTATTCGTATAATATATTCTTTATGATATACAACCATGAAAATAATAATCTCTTATTTGAGCTATTTTTGTTGGAACTTCTATTTGAGTAAGTTATTTACATCCATAAAACATTTGTTTCTTAATTCAATGATTGATGATGGTATTTAATAATTGATTTTAATGATACATATTCTTTAAAGAATTTCCTATTTTATTAACTTTGATAGCATATTAATTGTTTGAAATTATTTACGTTTTTGAAAAGACTTATCTCCTATTTCAAGAATTGATGTTGAAATAATAATAATAGCTAATGGTGCTCAGTCTTTAAAACATTCATAGTCTATTTTAGTAACTAGTGAACATACATTAACAGATTTAAATAAATAGTATCTGATAAAACCCATACTTTTTAATTTAACAATTGAACTTGGAATAACCATATTAATTAATGAAGAATATTCTCTAAAACACTATTTACATATTTTAGTAATTGATGTTGGAATAGTAACACTACTCAATGATTTACAACAAGAAAAACAACAAACTCCTAATTCAATAATTGATATTCGTAAAATAAATCTATTATATCTTTCTTTTCAATATTCTTTCAATGATTATTTCTAGACTTTTTGTGATTTCAAAACTATTTAACAAGTTCATAAAAAAAATAAAATTTTTTGTTGTTATAAACTTAGTACTTTCTATATTTAATGATGTTAATGATGAACAGTATTTAAAATAACTATCTACAATTTTACTAACTGTAGTTGGTATAGTAACTGACTTTAATCTTTTACAATTAAGAAAACAATAACTTCCTATTTCTTTAATTATTGTTGGTATATTAATTGTTGTTAATGATTTGCAACTATGAAAACAATAATGTCCAAGTGAATTAACTTTTAGTGGTATTTATTTTCATATTTTTCTAAAACACATTTTATATTTTATTTTTACACATATTTCCTGCTTCTTTTTTGAATAAATATGGTTAAATAACCTACTTCATACTATGTCATTTCTTTAGTTATTTTTCCTTTTTTAAATATTTCATCATATTTATAATAAATATGAAATGTTTCAATATTCCGAAATAATTTTCTTGAATATTCATTTAAAGGAAATAGTTATAATGAAATTGTTCCATATTTCATTGAAATCTTTTAACTCAATTTCTAAATTAATAAAATCTTTAATGTCATCAAAATACATTGGTATTATATTATTTCATTATACACAATTTTTATTCATAATTTATTGTTATTTATTGTGTTTATTCGTTCATTCATTTTAATTTAATTTTTTTTGAGTTTTGAAGTATTTTTAATTGTAAAAATATTTGATTTTCTTCTTTATAACATGGAGGAATTAATTATAAAATATACAAAAAATATCTAAAAATTGTCCGAGCAAAAAGTCATTATAAAATTTACATGATTAAAAATTATTACATTATGAATATTATGTATAAATATGAAATGTATATTATCTTTTATAATTAATTTGGATAAGATTATTATTTATTTTTATAGTGTTGATTATGTTATTTTAAATTAACTTAATATTATTATTTTTATTTATGTTATTATTAAATTGTTTAATTATTGTTAAAATTAGATATTATATTGATTTGATTGTTATATATTATTATGTTATTTCATTTTTATATTTATTATTATTATTATTAATTTGTTTGTTTATTAATTATATTAAGTATTTATTTATTTGAAATGATTGTTTATTATTATTATTTCATCATTATATTTATTTATATTGTTTATATTTAATTATATGAAATTAATTTATTTATTTATGAATTATATATTTATAATGAATAATTTTATTTAATAATTTGTTTATTGTTGTTGTTATATTATTTTATTTTTAAATCATTTATTTATCATATTTTGAAATTAATATATCTTTATTTATTTGAATAAGTATTGAATTATCATTTATATTTTCTGTATTTCATTTTATTATTTTTGTTATTGTTTTATTTTGTAATAATTGTAGAAAATATTATTATAGATTTGTTAGAATGATGAAATATTCATTTATCTAATTATTATGAATATTTAAATGAAGATAATAAATGAAGAATAAATATAATTATATTATTTTATCATTATTCTTTATTTATCATATTTATATTATTATAAAATGAATATGATAATAAATGATTTCAATAAAGAATATTTATTCAATTATCTTTT